AGAGTAGCCCAAGAGTTGGCGGTGGGTGTTGATGACTAGCTGCCTTCCCTCTAGTCTTACACTGCTAAATTAGCCCAGATAGTGCACATAGCCCTCGTGTAGCTTTGCGTGAAATTCAAAACAAACAAACAAACCATAAACTCATCCATGCTCATCGTGTAGAAGGACCAGCAAATAGTAGGGAAAACAAACTGGATAATTTGTGTGTATTATGATATAAAATTTAAATAGTTGTTCAGTAAAAGAAAGTTGTAGTGCAATCATAAATAAAAACGTCAGTAAATGTGTTTTTAATAAATAATCAACATCTAAAAAGTTCCTTTATTAATATTATTGATGTCGAGAAAAAAAGCTTGGGAGAAGAATTGCTTGTTAAACATAAAACATGTTGACAGTTAATCAAATAATCAAGAACTGTTTTACTAGATTATTAAATATATTTAACACTGTTGTTATTTACACATAAATAGATTTACCAATCCAGAACTATTCTGTTACTTTGATCACGTAAGCTATTATTGCATGTAACATAAGAATTATTTATAATGAAATTAATGATTTTTTGAATGAAAGTATTTAGTGCTACTGGTACTGTTTCAAAATTTTGGAGGTTATAATTTCGAAACAGTACTACCTCTACTCACCCAAAGCTATTTCAATCCTGGTTTGCCCTCTAAGCATTGCTAAAAAATATTTCGTTTTTGTTTTGTTATGGGGGCGCCATCAGCAGATCAGATGCCCCAAATATTTCACTGATAAACACCTTAAGCAAAGGTGTGATGGAAATTCGAACCCGCGACCCACAGATTGCAAGTCGAGCACCCTAACCACCTGGCCAAATATTTCACAAATCGTCGGCCGAACTCCCTAAAACCTGTGCTTCCCCAGCAGACATCGTCGACTCGTGTCAGAACCAATGTCTAATAATGCGGGAATTTTATCTCGAATTTGTATGAAGAAATTAGAATTCGGAAAACATAAATATTTCTAAAACAAACGAATGAAAATCAAACACGAGGAGTTGAAACTGATATTAATTTGTGTTCAAGCACAATCGAAATTTTGTAGTCACGTGGTCATCTATACACTAGAATGCCAATCCAGAAAGTAAGGATTGTACTAGAATAGTTGAGGGAGCTAGCTACGCTTGTATAGATGGTGCAGTATGATTGGTGGAGGGTAGTCACATGATCACCATATGTTATGAAATGGCGCGAAAATGAAGGGGTATAAAAGACTGGTGTGCTGTTAGAACAATATCTAACCCAGCAAATTGCATGGTAACAGGTGAAAAGTGCCGAAGAAAGAAATTGCCACAAAGTTATATCCTTCCTCAAAAAAAAAAATTTTTCAGTGTGTATTCCTCACTCCTAATAAGTATACCCATGTTTAGCGAGTTTATGTGTGCTTGTGTAAATGGATCTAATTATCGCACTCAGTAATTTAGGTCTTTCATACTCAGTACCTAGTAAGTTAGATTTTTATACCATCTAACTTACTTTAGTTTAAATTTGCATTTAGAGTTTGATTGTTACTTTTTTTTTGTTTATTTTCGAGATATATACTGGTTTTGACAATCCTTACTCTTTGGGTAATTGTACCTTCAGCTAATGTTGTGGGTGTTGGTTCATTATTTTTACTCCTATTCAATGTTTATGTTATTTAGTTTGTAAGTTTCCTTTTCTTTACTACTAGTTAAATCTAATTGGTGATTAGATTTGAGTCAAACTTTGTTATTATTAACTGGATGCCTTTTTATTCTCATGTTCTTCAGGGTAGGTTTTACTTTAGTGTCCTTTGTCTTATAAGTTCTTTGAGTATGTTCAGTATTTAAGGGTCTTTTATCTTCGAAGTTCCTTTAGTGGTTTATACTTTAGGTGTTGCTTATTGTTTTATATCGTAAATCAAAGTTCATAGTTTTGCAGGTTTTTTTATTTTTATGTACTTTGTAGACTACAAATTTCTAACTTTTGTTAGTATTGAGTACTTTCTCTAAATATGTTTAGTTTGTCTTTTTGGCTACAATTCACAACAGTTCTGTAGGGTCTGTGGGTCCTATCTGAAGGTTTCTGCCTTCATTCTGCTCCTCCTCTGTTCACTTCCCAGATCTCCTTCCCTCCTCCTCAAGATTGTCCCTCATCCAGTTGAATCTGTTTGAGACCTCCTACACTAAGAAGCTATCAAATGGGTGGTGCCCATTCAACTGGAATTTTACTCCTGTATATTTCTTGTTTCTAAAGGGTGGTGCCCACTCATCTGGGATGTTACTCCCATCTGATTATTGTCTTCAAAAACAGTGGAGATTAGAGACCCATCATAGATCTGGAGACTCCTCGCTTCACACATCTTGCACATTGAACTTGGTCATCCAGAGTCCTGGGAAAAAACCCACTGAAGTGAGAGGTAAGATTCCACAGACCCATAACTGGAAGACAGAACCCTCGTATACAAATGGAAGAAAAGGACGTGACACTTGGGCAATTGGAATATGAAGATAACTGCCATTTGGTCTTTCTTCAGCTC